ATGCAAATATATTACGCTATCACTGATATTAAATTTTCTCGTAGTGTTAATCAGTGGTCTGTGTTCGGTCATAAATCAGTGAAACATTATCTTCGTAATCGTTTTGGAGGGATGTATTCCCAGAGAGAGCACATCACATTTATCACAATACGCACTAATTCTCATTACAATTCTCTCTCTTGTTTTACAATTCCTTCATGTAAAAAGAAAGGAAGTAATTTAAATCAGAGATGGTTCTGAATTGATGAGTTTACCACATTTAAAGGAGCATGATAGATCGTCTGCAGTAAATTTTTCACTTCTAGAGGAAGTGTATTTTTAATTTTTTTAAAATTGCCATTACATCAAGCAAACATTACGCGCAAAATACTCATAATTTCTAAAAATGTACTTTAAGAACTTACAAAGTAATTTACTACACATAGGAACAAAATTCATCCACTTTTTCAATATAAAAAAAACGCTTCTCCAAACGTTTTTTTCTGACAAAAACTCCATTTTCCACTGCGGTATAACAACGCCTTCTTTATACTACGGAAGCACGTCGAATGCAAGAAAATAAAATCACAAATCGTAAAATAAGACATCTGAAGCACTGGTAGAATGACACAGGGAAAACACGCCTCCTAGAAACCAAGCGTAACTGTCAAGCACAAAGATTGATTCATTGTACTTAGAGGGATTGTGGCTAAGCCATTACAGCAAAGGGGAAATTTTAATTTTAATTTCAAATGTGGTCTTTGCTTCCTCGCTCCCGACACCTCATGACCGCAGGAGGATATTCTTCGATTCGATTGGGCTGATGTGGGGATTCACATTTTGCAGGTGGCTGGCTGTGACGCACTTCGAACCCACGTACGCGCGCAGGGCCTTCCCGTGCTTCGACGAACCGGCGATGAAGGCGCGCTTCGAGATGCACGTGGCGCGCCGCCAGGCCGCTTCCTCCGTCTCCAACATGCCGCTCAGGAGCACGGAGGCCATGTGAGTACCCCGTCCCCAGATAGGCCGATCAGGAGCTCAGAGACAGACTATGTAAGTACAACAAAACGTCGCTCAGGAGCACGGAGATCATGTGAGAACCCCAACATTTCACTCTGGAGCACAGAGGCAATGTGTGTACTCCAACATGTCGCACAGGAGCGCGGAGACCATGTGAGTACCCCAACATTCCTCTCAGTAGCACAGAGACAATGTGAGTACCCCAACATTCCTCTCAGGAGCACATAGGCAATGTGTGTACCCAACATGCCGCTCAGGAGCACAGAGGCAATGTGTGTTCCCCAACATTCCTCTCAGGAGCACACAGGCAATGTGTGTACCCCAACATGCCGCTCAGGAGCACGGAGACCATTTGAGTACCCCAACATTCCATTCAGAAGCTCAGAGTAAATGAGAGTACCCCAACATGCCGCTTAGGGGCACAGAGGAGATGTGAGTACCCCAATAGACCGCTCAGGAGCAAAGTGGTCATGAGAGTACCCCAACATGTCTCAGACTATGCATGTACCCCAACAGGCCCACAGTACACAGAAACGCACGTGAAGTACCTCAACATGCCGTTAGAATTCAGTATTCTCAACTTCTTAAAGAGTTATTGAACGTATATTAAGTATAACACATACTCTCAAAATATTTAAAATATTATAGCAATGTTTTTCTTCTGGTTTCGGTGTGTTCGTTGGTTGAAAACGCAATTAATAACATATTACTTGACTGTTGAAATTATTGAGGCGGTTACAGAAACATTGTAATGTAATTCTATCTAGATACAAAGAATGACAAAATGATAAGATTAGAACACGTAATTTAAGAGAGATTTTGCAACATTATTGCACAAATTCGAAAATCGTGGGCGGAGCTAACAAAACCTTTAAAAATCAAGAAAGACGTCCAGCATGCTATCCATGGTTTGCCTCTTCCCCGCAGCGCCGGAGCCAAGCCGGGCTGGGTGTGCTGTGGACCACTACCCGCCGTCGCCGGTCATGTCCTCGTACCTGGTGGCGCTGGTGGTGTCCGAGCTGGCCAGCAAGGCGCGCCCGTCACCTCCCGACCTCCCGCCGTTCGACGTGGTGGCGCGGCCCGACCTTCCTGCCCTCACCGCCGACTTACGCCCTCTCCATCGGCCCGCGCATCCTCGTACCATTACTCCGACTGACTTCAACATCAGCTACCCGCTGCCCAAGGTCACCATGGCGGCCGTGCCGGACTTCGCCGCCGGCGCCATGCGAAGAACTGGGGACGTCGTACTATACAGTGAGGTGAAAACGCGTTGCCAATGCCTAACTCCCCATCGCCTCAACAAGTTCGCCTCAACAGATCGCCTCAACATGACACTCACACAACTTCGCCTCAACATCGCCACAACTATCGCCACAACTGTCGCACAATGCAAACTATCGCCACAACTATCGCCACAACTTCCCCCGCCACAACTATGCCACAACTATCCGCCACAACTATCGCCACAACTATCGCCACAACTATCGCCGTTGCCACTTCAACTAAAGCTATTGGCACTAAAATCACTCCCTACTAAATACCTCTCCTATAACCACTTCCATTAAAAATCACCCCCATTAAAACCATTCAGCACTAAAATCATCCTACTAAAACCATCCTAAGAATATTCTCATCCTTACTAAAAAAAGTATCACCGTTAAAGCTGCAACTACTATCACCATCGAGCGAAGTGGCTCAGAGAGTAGCGCGCTGACTTCGCATTCGGGAGGCCCGTGTTCAATCCCCGTGCGGGCAGCCCTGAGCGGGGTTTTCGTGGTTACTGTCGTTCATCCATGCGAATGCTGGGATGGTTCTACTGAAAGGCCATGATCGCGAAATCGGCGTCGCTAATTCACGAAGGTTAAGCGAATTTGAGACATTGCGGGTTCCTGGTTGGTTGTCCGACTAGGAACCCCGAGATCTACCGGCGCCGTGGCTAATTGCTCTTTACGGAATATATAATGGCTAATTACAAATACCACTATCACCACCCGCAAATCATCGACAATAATCATTAAAATGAGATGTGAGAATGTAGAATACGCGATGTGATTTCATAAATTTACATTTTCTTTTCTTCTTCCAATGCGACATCACTAGTGTGATGTTGGCGATGGCACATTTCTTACCCATCAACATACAAGGTGCCATTGATCTTTGAATCAATAAATTGAAGTCAATTTCAACCTTAATTACAATGACAATCACAATGAAAATGCCAATACCTTATGCTAGACTAACCTGCAAAACTTGATGCTACTAGACATGGCTATTGGCACATCTATCTATGTTAATGTTAACGATTTATTGACACATATTACATCATGTTTAAAACCTGTGCACTCTCCATTAATTTTCTTTTACTTTTTTCTCTCTTCTTATTCTTATACTCTGAATTTATTTAAAACATAACTTAAAATCCAATTATTTAAAAGCGGATCCAGAGAAGTTTTGGGAGGGGAAATTAAAAAGGTTTTGGTCAAAAGAGTCATATTACAAATTCTGTAAAATATAACAGGCTACACGCAGCTAATTCTGCGATATAATTTTATTTGTTTTAATGATTATCTGAAAATATTTTTGCTTGAAAGTTTCGTGACAAGTTAAAATTAATAGTTACTGAAACATTTTAGGGGGGGGGAGATTTCTCTTATTTCTCTCCCCATGGATCCGTGCCTGAATTATTTTAATACAAAACTAGTCATAGTGACCTGCTTACAAGTTTTACCCTAGATTAAGGTTGAAGAGTTTTCAAAACCTTTTAAAATGTAGATGGCTTGGGCACAACTTATTTCTGTCAATCTGCCTGGCACGATTCCTTCAAAGCCAAAACTTTTTCCATATTCAAAAGGAAAATAACCAATTACAAAGAAAGAAAAGGAAAAAGAAGGAAAGAGAGAAGAAGGGAAAAAGAAAGGAAATCAGAGAAAGGAAAATTCCCAAGTAGAGTACATTTAATGCACCATTCAATTATTTGTTTTGTAACTGGATGTAGAAAGTTAAAAACCCTTTTTTTTATATTAGAAAATCAACTTTTTAAGATACTATATGTTAGACTTCATATTACTTTTACCACAAATTAAATAAACATTTAATAACTTTTCTATTCTACTGTCCTCTTTATGTAATTGTGCAATTAAGCCGTTTATACTCAAGTAAATATTATAATAATTGTTTTGTAGTCTTCCATAGGGACCTTCTCCTCTTTCCTCTTTATTTCGTATTAATATGTATTAATTGTCATTTTGAACAACCTGTTGTATATATTGTGCTCATGGATTCCATTGTACCATATTCCTTTAGAGAATCTTTTAGTCTTCAGAATGAATCCAAGCTCAATTCTTTGGTCCACTGCAATCTTCTACATCAGGGATTTCTTTCATCACCCCATTTTATATATTACTTGCTTCATCGACCCCCTTATGTTTTCTCTATAACATATAGCATCCATAATAATAACACAAGGAATTGCAAATAATGCTTTAAAATAATTTTGTATACCAATATTTTCTTAAATATATTAATTTTCAATAATTGAAGAGGCTGACACTTTTCAATAGCTAAGTTACTTCTAATCATCATTGTTGTGCAGTGGTTTTCTAAACATTCTAACTCCTGAGGATGAACAACAGATATGAAAGAAGAGGAGTGAATTTGTAATTTATTGTGTTTTGTTGCTACGTATCAGACAACAATTATTTTTCAAATCCATTAACTTTTTTTTTGCTATCAATGGAATCTCAATTATACTCGTCACTTGCCAGTTCATTTTCCGTATTGACCCCAAATAGTTCCCTTGATGATCACTGACCCCCTTCAAACTTTTATCGACCACCAGGGGGTTGATACCAACCCTATCAGGATCCCTTGTTCTACATGCTTCTTTCCTCACTTTTCTTTTTAAACCATTTTTGTTATTAATTTTGTTGTTCCACATGTGTTTAAACCTGTTTTAGTACTTGCATTCTCAAATGACAAAAAATTACAAACTATTTTAATGTTTCAGAGAGTCCCTCATGCTGTTCAACTCCAGCATTTCAACTGCACAGAGCCAGCAGTCTGTGGCTAGTGTGGTTGCTCACGAGCTCGCACATCAGTGGTTTGGAAATCTTGTTACCATGGATTGGTGGTCAGATCTATGGCTTAATGAGGGTTTTGCCACATATGTCTCTTACATTGGAGTAAATCATGTAAGTGTTTTAAAGGAATCAGTTATAAAGAAATTTGTTGAAAGGAAACCCAGTATTAACTAAAACATTCAATGACAACATTGTATGACTAAGATTTTATTTGCCACATAATGCATTTCTTTAGAAGAACTGACATATTAAAATGCTAAAAAATTAATTTAATCCCTAACTTCAATAATTATATTAGTTCATTCAAGGGCCACCTGATTAGTTTAAAAAGGAGTTTTGTAGTTCAAAGCATTGAAAAAATTTTTGAAACAAAGATTTTGTTTTCACAAGATATAAGATTATTGCCCCACTCCACAAATAACTATATGATTTCATGAATTACTATTGTGTACGTCATTAGAAACATTATTTCAAAACAAAAACAAATCTGAAGTCTTTTCAATAAAATTAATATTCAATTTTACAAAGTTTTTGTAATCATGAACTTTTTTCTTATGATGTAAAATATAATTATAACTAGTGGAATTACAGATTTACTTTTTACTTTCAGGTAGAACCAACATGGCACATGTTGGACAAGATTGTAACAGAGCAAATGCATCCTGTTTTGGAAACAGATGCCCTCAACTCTTCGCATCCTGTGTCAGTAGAAGTGCAAAATCCTTCCCAGATCTCTGAAGCATTTGATGAAGTGTCTTATAACAAAGGTAACTACATTTTTATCAGCAATATGGATATTTATTCTGTTCTTTTATGGTATGCTTCCTGTAAGAAGGTTGTAAAATTCTTGGAGAGTATTACTGACATTTTAAAACGAAGTAAATACAATACACTGAAACCATTCAAAACAAGCACATACTTTGTCAATTAATTCTACTTTTTAATTCTTGTTGACCTTATAAGGAAATTTGAATTTTCAGTAGTACAAATTAATTTATTACCAAACGATAATGAATGTAGTAATTTTTTTTTATTTTCTAAATTTGTGTTTTTACCATACTGTATAAAGTAGTGGAGGTCTGTGTTAACTAAATGTTCTATCCAAACAAACTGAATGATACATTCACTATAAGTCTAAATAATAACTCCTTAAACATTATGTTTTTCTTTCTTACTTAATGTTAGAGTATATCTAGAAAGTACTAAGATAAAATAATTGGTTCATCTTAAAATACACTTTAAAATTAAATACATTTCAAATTAAAACTTTCATACACATACATTTATTATTGAAATTGCAGTGATGAATACGCATGAATGGCATGTTCTTCCATAGATATTACAAAGTTGGCAAAAGTGAAAACAATGCTGAAAGATCCAAAGATATAGCCTCTTTTAAAGTTGGTCAATAAAAATTCTTCTTTTAATTTCATGCTTAATTAACTCTTATTTTGGTAAATGAATTCAATTTGTAAGTTAGAGGTTGTTGACACACTTTATTACTTTAGTTAATCATAAAACTTTCTTCAGCACAATTTAAACTTTGTAGGTTTCAACATGTCAATTAAATTTCTTTGATATGAAATTGAGAACAAAGTGACTCTTGGGTTAAATTAAAAGTCGATGTGCTGAGACGAGTTGTCTTTCACAGCACAATTTTCGAAGACAAGATGTACATAGTAAATACATAAAATGAATAAAGGTTAAATAGAATGACAAAACAAGCTACTGTTTTCAGAAAAAGGCTACAGTGCAACATCAAGATCCACTAAAAATGTGGTTGTGATGTATATAAATAGGAAATTAGTACACAATAAACATTCTTATATCTAAATTACTAATTTTCAGGTGCCTGCCTAATTCGCATGTTAAACCACAGCCTTACAGAAGAAGTCTTTAGAAGTGGTCTTACAAATTACCTTATTAAATGGTAAGTGCCCTAAAAACATTTGCCTGATGATGTCTGATTTGATTAACATGTTTCTTCACGAAATACTCAATCTTCTTCAAATTTTTTAATTTTTCTGCTTATTTTGTTGTTTTGCAATGCTAGTATCATTATGTATAAAATATTATTTTTTTGGCGCTTTTCAAATTATGATCGTGCAACATTTTGAGAATGAAAATACTTTTTTCTGATTCATCCTTTGTTATTTCTTTACTTTGTTCAGAAATAAATTGCAGAATTATAACAGAATTTACAAGGAGAAAGAAGCTACAACTCCAAAAATTGGTTTATAACAAATGAAACATCGGTTGGGAAAGTATTTAAGAGGTCATCCAACTCGTTACTGTTTTTGTTTTTATTTCTATTCTCTTAAAATTCCACAGAGGCATGAATTTATTTAATTTCATTTTATGTAAAAGAGAGGGATGAGACAAAAAAGTATGAGTGATGTTCATGGGGAGAGAAGAGCAGTATGTAGACTTAAAAAGTAAGGGAGCTAGGGACTTTATCAACGTTTACTCACCAGATCAAAGGAGACGGGGCAAAAAATAATGAGTCCGTAAAATTGAGTATCACTTACTCAATATTACAACTTGATAAAATGAAATTTTAATCAAATTTTCTGTTGATGTTTTATAATTTTGAAAACATTTAAAAGCTTTATTTAAGATCATCAAAATCCAAGTAGGGAGGAATGATCTGGAGGTATTATTAAATAATAAAGAATAAAGAAACATACAACTGAAATATGTTTTCTTTAATATAACTTCTTTGCAGATTCAATAAAGAATGTACATTAAAGGAGGGGGGAAAAAGCAAAAAAACTTCAAACGTCAAGCACTTTATTCCAAGTTTCTAATAATTTTACAGTGTGAAATATTTGTATCTAATGTCCATTCCAATTAGTGTATTTGGACCAAGAATGATAGAGAAGGGTAATCATCAAATATACAATATCAATAATCCCCATTTGTTTAACATCGGAACAGCCTTTTAGTTTTGCCCAATTGGCCACATTGGCTACCTTACCGTCAGTATCAAAGTTGACTTTTCAAAGCATTCTTGTGGTTCTACTACTTATTTGGGGCAACTCCCTCAGCATGAGTACTCACTTCATACCCAAAACCGTATGCTCTTGAGCATGTCTTTCATCTAGAACGTAAATAAATTCTTAATGTAACCTGTCAGTCTGTGGTAACTGATGCATATGCCTTTCACAGGATTGATGATACCCTTTCCTTAGTAGCTCCACAGCACAATAGTCATTAAACCCATTGTGGTAGGTACCATATGTTATTGGGTATCGCCAACGGATTAGGGAAGGAGAGAAGCGTTGGGAGGGAATGGGAATGCAGGGATGGGGGAATGGGAATATCCTCAAGCCACAGACACACGTTAAAACATCAATGCAGGATTTGAACCTACAGCTCTGCTCTCCATGCTCTTAAGCCGGCCTGTCCCATTCCATCAGGCTGGCAAGTTATATGTAGTATATGCATTTTGACCATTTTGAAGTAAATTTGAAAAATGTGCAATGTAAAAAATTGCAGAAGTGATCAAATTTAGAAGTTATACTGGCTTAAGAAATATATTATTTGTTATTAATTTTATTGAATATCAAAATCAATTAAAATAATTCCCAATAAATAGTTTTACTTATGTCCAAACAAAAAAAAACAAAAAAGGAATGCCATTGATATAATAGAGCAAAAATGCTGGAATTTAGTGGAAAGTGCTTTCTTAATTGATGCACAATTATTTTTATTTATGCTATTATCATAATTTTAACTTAAACATTTCATAGAAGCTGACACTAACACACTAATCAGTGGCGAATCCAGGACAGGGGTGCCAATGGCCCTATAGCCCCCCCCCCCCAAAGCCTAGAGTTATTGTATATTATGTATACACTATAAAAATAATATACAATATAATAAGAAATTGTGTATTATTTAACAAAAATGTATGATCCCTCCCCAATGATTGACTGGATCCACTCTAGGCACTAATTATATTTAAGATATTTGCTTAAATAATATCCAACATCAAAGCTATGGACTTATATCTCATTAACTGTTCTTTGCTCTGAAATAAGTATTAATAATATTTTGAAATTCAAAAATGAATGTAAAATTCTATTATTTTGTATTAATTATATTTTATTTATTTATCCATTTACTAAACGAGGGAAAGTTTAAAGCACGATTTTGGCCAAATATGATTTTTCAGCTGCCATTTTAGTTATTGCATCAACAGTACTGTATCATAAATTTCATCTTTCCATTGACACTTTTTCACCCTTTTTCCATTTACATTCTTAAACGACCTCCTTTCATCCCCATTCTTGGGATCCAACAATAATATCTTTTTAGGCACCTATTGACAATTCATCTATCCTTATCAGACTTTTATTTTTTAATATCAACATTTAAACATCCTTCTATTTTCAATTTCTGTGTAATCCACTCAATATCATTCATGTCAATAATCAATCTTCATCAATAATTTGATCAAATAGTGTGACCGCTTAGTTTGTTTTTCAAGACCTGTTTTCAGAATTATTTATTCTTTTCAATTTGGTTTGAATTAATAGCCACACCTCAAATCGATATGTTATTGAGCTCTCTAATTGAGTCATAATCAGTAGGATCTTCATTTTATTTTGAATATTCTAACTTCAGTGTCGCTCAGTTCTCTTTTAATTGATTAGTTGATAAATTATTGGCTGAAGTGTAGTATATGGTACAACCTAAGGATGCCATTTAAACTGGCACTTCGCGCCGCTCCGGCGAAGGGGGAATCCACGAGGGGTGTTTAGAGGATTATGAGGGGAATCTTTAGGTGGGGAGGAGTGGTGAGCAATATACGTAACTTAGTACATACCATACTTAGTACATACCCCCTCCCCTCACCACCACACTTTTCTATGAGTATACCGTGTACTCAACTTTAACCAAATTATTTACTTTATTTTTTTTACTGGGTATTTGTTTGTGTTACTTTCTAATTGTTTATTCATTTTATTATTTCTTTACTTGTTTCTTCATTTTATTATTTCTTTATTCATTTTATTATTCATTCATTTTCTTAATTTTATTCATTACCTCATCACTTGCTTTCCTGAAGGACGTGGTCGAACGCCAACCAGGACGACCTGTGGGCGTCGCTGACAGAGGCCGCAGGCAACGTGAGCGGGCTGCTGCCGGCCGGCGCGTCCGTGAAGGCCGTGATGGAGACGTGGACGCTGCAGAAGGGCTACCCGGTGGTGATGGTGCGGCGCGACTATTCGGCCGGCTCCCTTCACCTGTCGCAGCGCCAGTTCAAGCTCGAGGGCACCGACGGCGCCGGCGCGCGCGACGACAGAGCGCTCTCGTGGTGAGTGCGGAAAACTCGCGTTCGTTCGGGAATAATCTTTTTATTATATTAACATTTCCTGCTTTGTGTTTTTCATTATAATTTTTTAACTATTTTATACTTTCTATGTTCTTTTTATGGTATCAAAATTCGGAGTACTTCTCGTATTACTCCTTATTAGTTATTTTTAAAATATTGTTTAAGATTATTGCAGTCGTTACTTGCCACTGGACAGCAGTTCACTTGCAAGGGAAAAAATGCATAAAATTATTATTTATCCTCCTCTGAATCTGTTCCCCATTTTTTGTCTCTGTCCCCGACTCAGTCCTCCCGTCTTTATTATCTTCCTTATTGGCTTTTTCCTTCTTTATTCTCTTCATTCTCCTTTTCTCTTCCCTTTTCTTCTCTATAATCCTCTACAACATATGTAAGAGTATGTATTGCTTCACCCGTGACATGGACTGCATTGCTACTTATTTATCTACAGACGTCAGCTGATTCCCATTTTCGCCGTCTCAGCGCATGTCATCACTTGCAGCATTTGTCGCTGAACAAATACGGGAACTGTTTAGAGAGGTAGTAGTTGCCGATGGATTCAATTTCACTGAGCAATAAGCCGTTTTTTGACGCGCGGCGAGTACTCATGAGCCCCTATAGTGTTTCAATTCTACGATAATTCTGTCATTTTGTATCGGTACAATACAGTACCGTTAATTCGAAACCTCAGATTGTAAGGGAGGTGCGACCCAACATTCCAAGTGAAATCGCACAAAGATGACAGAAATGGAACCTTCACACTTTCTTATTTTTCCTAAATAATATATGGGTTAAATAAGTTTAAGTATATTTCTATTTCATTTTAAATTTATTGGTCTTGGAAACAGTGCGTATTGAAATGAATTAAATTATATGTTGTATGACGTGTATCGCTAACTTAAAAGCACTACACACTCGAATACACTAATAATATATTCTTTGGCCAAATTCCATTTGAAAGATCGAAAAACGTCTGATTTTTTTAGTAAATCCCCACGCATCCTTACAAATGTCAGATGAGGTCTAGCTCTGATTCTCAAGCAAATAAACATAACCTCGATTCGATCTTGTGCCGCAATTTGCAGGTACGTGCCGGTGAGCTACGCGACGGGTGAGGACGTCAAGTGGTTGCAGGACACGCGGCCCCGCGCCTGGCTCACCCCGGAGCACAGCGACGGACTCAACATCTCGGCGGTCACCGCGCCTGGCTCCAACACCTGGCTGTTGCTCAACGTGCAGCAGACAGGTGAGCCCCGGCGACCAGATAAGTAGACCAGATAAGTTGAATTATAGTGCATGATGTACGTCTGGCCTTTCAGTATTAAATTATAAAAGTGCATTTTCAGTACGAAACTAACGTTAAATGCCTGTTACAAATATATACTATGATAATTTCATTATCATCATTCTCAACGCACTAGTGGTTAAGCTTTCGACAGTGATCGTTATGTGCCGACTGCAGTACATTTATACAGCATTGTAGGCTTTCACGGCCGGAGTCAATATTCTTCATGTCTTCCGAGTTGATGGGCCGTGGCATCTCAAAGCCAATTGGACCAAGGCCCATCAGCCCGGAAGACATGAAGAATAATGCAGTACATTTAGTTTAGTACTTTAGCTCATTAACTCTTATTATTATTTGTCTTATTTATTCAAACCACTTTTGAATATTGGTCTCTTCCCAGTCCGCGTGTGCCAGTTATGAGAGGGGAAGGTGTAAGAATTACTCCCCCCTGCGACATTCCAGTAGGTATTTCAGGTCGATGGATAGGAAGGACGTTTGTTTCTGGACGTAAAGGTAGCTAACTATACGCACGTTTTGTTGAACTCTCCTTTTGCTTGTAATGGTAAGAGTAGAGGTAAGGACGAGTTGGTATTTTGTTAGCAATGCAGAAAAATCATACTTACAATTCGTGTACCGATGCAAAAACGTTTTCTGTAACTCAGAAACGAAAATGACTATTTTTCATATATTGCTAATCTTGCGATTTTTAAAATTTATTTTTATTTATTAATTTTTACTCATCTTTCAAGTATTTATAGTTAAAATGACGGTAAGGGATTCTGGAACTCAAGAATACGTGCGCAGATATTCTTTTCCCCCCTACGTCACATACAGTTTGTACTTTTTTTTTGACTCAATGAATCTAAATCCAAAGGGACGGTCGTGCAAGATTGCGCCCATAGCGTGTGGCGAGGTTCCGGTATTCCAAAAATTTGCGAATTTGCCAACCTCTGTAGCTTATTTGCCTTTTCAAATAGGTTTTATTACACTGAAGCGAATTTTTCTTGTCAATTATTGCCATAAATGCTCATTTTATCTGTACAGATAATTTAACTTGATATGGGTTAGAGAAGAATCCCAGAACTTTAGAAAACGTGTACAGAAAACACTTCTGCCCATAGTAGTTTACGTACAGTTTTTAACTGTTTTTGACTTAAAATAAATAAAAAAATTAAAATGAATCTGAAAAAACATGCAAATCAGAACTATGAATTCAATTGCAGCAGGCGCCACAAATTCATGGATGTTCAACACATTAAGCATAGTATGTCCTGCACGTGATCGGAAGCGAACACGCGAACTTCCAAATGACCGTCCTATAACCTATAATAGTATATCTAATAAGTCTGTCTAATTTTTATCAAAATTATTTTTATACATCTGATTTTGATTTGAATATTCATATTTTTATCTTCGAATCTTAGGTACTCGTAACTTGATACCGACCCATTTAGTGAAAATGCTTCTCCTCAGCCCTCTTCTAAGATTTTAATCATTTTTTTTCGAGTCTTTATGGTGGACGATGTTGATTCCGTATTCCCTTTGTTTCCGAAAGTCCTGTATTTCCGTAAATTACATTTTCTCAATATTACCACTCTGGAAATTTTATAATTAATATCTTAATACTTTAGCCTTAATTAAGAGACATATTTTTTTATTTCGTTCCGGATGAAGATTCGATGAATGATATCCTTAAGCGTTCTAGAAAATAACTTTGTTTTCGTATAAAACTAATTTGTGAAAATGTGGAACAATTCTTGGCAATTGTACATATTTTGTCGAACACAGACGTCCTGAAATTGCATCCCAAGTAATTTACAGGTTATGGTAAATTACACTTTGCTAGAGAAGATAATGCAATCTGGAGGGTCCATTGAGTAGTAATAACATTTTCTCTTTCTCATTTTCTCAGAGAAACAGAGTAATAATAGAGTTACTTTGTATCTTTCATTTCCATTTGAATCGCTGACTTGGCAGCGCATTTATTTGCAAAGACCAACCTCCAGCGAACTCTTCTATCCGTCTCTTGAGGACACAAAACGAGCGCCATTTTTGTTCCGCCAGATGCATTTGACAGATGGGAAAATAAAGGAATGGAAACGCCTTAGATCGATACTAGCATGTCGGAAACAACAGCTCCACTGAACCAACACTTCTGTGCCGTCGAGTTTGTCGAGTGAGGAAATCCACTTCTAGAGCACGCAAAGGAGAATAGCGGAACAAATACGTCTTAAAGACGAAATTCATTTAAAAAATACATTTATATTTGGACAGTTAAAAGAAAAGTTATAAATGATGTAAAAACTAAATATCAGAATGTTTTCTTGAAGACGAAAAATGTACATAATAGAACCAGAAGGACATTATTCGACTGAACACAAGAAACAAAGTTGTTTTGAAAACTTTCAAACAGAAAACAGCACTAAAGTGAAAGAGAGCCATCGTATTTTGATAAGTCAAACCAAATAATCAGACTTAAGGTACATCATTGATCAATATGTTTTTCTGTATGTACGTATATACACACACACAGACACTGACACACAGCCACTGACACACAGCCACTGACACACAGTCACTGACACACAGACACTGACACATAGACACTGACACACAGACATTGACACACAGACACAGACACACAGTCACAGACACAGTCACAGACACACACACAGACTATCAATACGAAGGATCCATTCTTGAAGTTTTACCGTTGAGTTTCGTTACATTCTTTATAAAGGTAGTGCGTGCCATCTTAGCTTCTATTTCAATCCTTTCCCTTTCATCGAAACCGTCAACCTAGAGCAGTATGCCTCACATCTTCCCACAACTTGCATACGATGGCGAACCCTCCCTATTCCCTTACCTACCCTCGCCATCCCCACTCGCCAATAACCATTAAAATTGTAATGTACTAAAGAAGCAATCGATTCGTTATTTGTTTCAATTTCTGGGGTCAAGAACTATTTTTTTAAAACAGTTCATTTAAGCACACTTCCTCTTTCAGCAATCCCATTCCGTGGTCGCCACCATGCTCCCCAATCGCGCCAATGCAACAATGACGCAGTTGTAGAGAATGGAATTTTACAAACAAATGAGGCATTGTTATTCTTTCCAAATGACGTCACAGTCACGCGACACTTCAACTGCGTGCACTAAGTATCCGGACTTGTGGCTGAAATTGACGTACCTGTTCGTGGCGCCCTCCATTGGTAATGCTGGAATTCAATTGAGTGTTGGCCCACCCTTAGCCTTGATGACAGCTTCCACTCTCGCAGGCATACTCTCAATCAGGTGCTTGAAGGTTTATCGGGTAGTATTGGAAAGTAGCCCAATTTAGCAGTCATTGTGCAGTTGAATAAATTGCCTCTTTTTTATAGCAAGTATGGAGAAATAAATAATCTCCGACAATGTAGGTATTCGATAATAATATATTAAGTTAAAAACATCAACCAGATATGCTTCAGTTAGATTCAAGATGGCCATCAAAGCAATTTGTTCCACGTTTCTCGGTGCATTGTGAAGATGTACCACTAACTTGCCTGGTTGATTTTTTAAACAATTAATATATTATTATTATTACTACTACTATTATTATTATTATTATTATTATTATTATTTAATACGTACATTGTGGAAATTTCTCCGTACTTTCGAAATCACGTACTTCTACAAAATTTTTGCTGGTCACTCTGAAACGTTATTTTGTCTTCCCTCCAGGCTACTACCGCGTCAACTACGACAGCGCCAACTGGCGCCTGTTGAGCGACCTGCTGCAGACCGGGCCGCTGGAGACGGTGCCGGCCGCCTCGCGCGCGCAGCTGCTGTCCGACGCGCTCAACCTGGCGCGCGCGGGCCTGCTCAACTACGACACGGCGCTCAACCTCACCTCGTACCTGTCGCGCGAGACGGACGCCGTGCCCTGGAAGGCGTTCGTGCGGGCCTACTCCTTCCTCGACGACATGCTGCGCGACTCGCGCGAGTACACGCACTTGCAGGTGGGGGTCGGGCGTCTGGAGACTACGGTCGCAGTCGATCGACCGCTGGCTACCGGACGACTGCGAGAGAAATCGTCCGACTAATTGCATCTGAAATGCACTCGAATACTGTACCCGAAAATTCCATAATTCCGCAGTTCATTGTTCGAATCACTTGCGCGAAGCACGCTCACGACCATATACTACATGTTTTAGAGGTAGTGTTCGTATTACAGATGGTCTTCAATCTCCAGTTGATTTCGAGCGAATGGAACCGAACCGAAATCAAACGAACCAGAACTGCGACCGACAGCCCGTTATCGAACTCTGTCGGGAGAGGACGTTCGGGTTCAATATATCCATTTTCGTTTACTAGCACATGTTTGAATGAATCGAGGATATGGGACGAAACGTCGACAGGCCGAAATTTCGGCGAAAATCGGTTCCATAGTGACCGCCGCCTAAGACGGCCAGGTACAAACGCCTTCCAGAGAACGAAAGCCTTTCAGGCTGCCTAAGGTGGCGGTCATGGAGAAGCAGATATTGACCAAAATTTCGATCGTACGACGTCGGACATTGTCGTCCAATTTGTGAAATTCGTTCAAACACGTGTTGATAAACGGAAATGGTCAGAGTTAACCCGAACGACTTCTTCCGACGGCATCCTAAAACATCGGCTGTCGTTCAAAGATCTGTTTCGTTTGGTTCTGTCGGTTCCATTATCCTGAAATGAAGGCAATATTCTATTGAATAGGCAATCTTCAATAGCAAGTAGATCTAGAGTGTACTGACAAATGTTACCAACAATGAACCGTGGAATTGGGGGCAATAGTCGGACGATTTCAGGTGGAACAGTCGGACGATTTCAGGTGGAACAGTCGGGAGATTTTCATATGAAATAAGTCGGACAATTAAGCTCTCAGTCGTCTGTTAGCGAACGACCGATATTTCGACTGCACTGTGACCGTAACCTTAAATAGTCTTAAATGATGCTTGGCGCTTGTCAACAAAAAGAACGGAAATGGTTATGCTTTGTTTGAGTGTGAGGTTGCAAGTTTAATAGAAATTTTGCACACAAAAAAAGTTAGCAAATGTTTGGCAATTCCTGGACACGATGAGTAGGAGAACACTAGCAGGTGAGAATCATTAACAAAAGAAGCTTTAACCCTGTCAAGCGGACATTAAATCACCCGCTACTTGGGAATGCACGTTCTTGCAAGTGGGGATCAATTACGAGACTTGTTCTTAACCGATAGGCATGCAACATGCATGTCTAGGGTTATCATATTTAAAGAGTACATTCATATTTGAACATTTCTATTAAGAATTGCTAACGTATACAATAATTATTAAACTCCAACAGTGTTGTTATATATCGTTTCTCAGAGAGCTGAAAGTTAAAAATTCCCTTGAAAAGTTTTCAAGTCTTGCATCTAATTTTATTCTTATATAAAATTTGGGTCAAATTGATACATCTTTCTTATTAGCATTCCATTACACCTGTATAAACAATGAATTTTTTTGAAGTCATAGGCTTCCGCGGCCAGTCATGTGCATGATCTTTGCTGTTCGGGTGACGCCGCGTTGGAGGCTGTGTTGTTCATTTCGACCATCGGCTCACGGCATACCAGCCCTCAGGAAGACCACGACAAGATAACCCAAACGTCGGCAACACAGCCTTCGACGCGGCTTCACCCCGACAGCCAAGATCATGCCTCTGAATTTTTGTGTTACTCTTGGCAACTAAACAACTTATATATTTTAGAGAATTAAAAAAATGTATCTTATTCCACATCTCGAACCATTGTTTAATTGTATTTA